TGGTAGTATTGTTGATCGCTTGGTTTAGTTTTGGGTTGTCGAGTGGTTGGACGAAGTTTGAGAAGGTTTGGAGAGCTTCTTGAAATATTTGGGATTAGATATTTGTATCTTATAGTGTGTGGAACATAGTTGCAAGTAATTAGTGATACTGTTAATCATTTATTTTATAGTTTTAGGTTGTCCAGTGGTTGGATAATGTTTGAGAATGTTTGAAGAGCTTTTTGAAATATTTAGGATTCGATATTTGTATCTTATAGTGTGTGGAACATAGTTGCAAGTAATTAGTGATACTGTTAATCATTTATTTTATAGTTTTAGGTTGTCCAGTGGTTGGATAATGTTTGAGAATGTTTGAAGAGCTTTTTGAAATATTTAGGATTCGATATTTGTATCTTGGAGTGTTTGGAACATAGTTGCGAGCAATTAATAGCATCATCAATCATTTACTTCATACGTGTTTGGTTGTCGAGTGGTTGGATAATGTTTGAGAATGTTTGAAGAGCTTCTTGAAATATTTGGGATTCGATATTTTTATCTTATAGTGTGTGGAACATAGTTGCAAGTAATTAGTGATGCTGTTAATCATTTATTTTATAGTTTTAGGTTGTCCAGTGGTTGGATAATGTTTGAGAATGTTTGAAGAGCTTTTTGAAATATTTAGGATTCGATATTTGTATCTTGGAGTGTTTGGAACATAGTTGCGAGCAATTAATAGCATCATCAATCATTTACTTCATACGTGTTTGGTTGTCGAGTGGTTGAATGAAGTTTGGGAAGGTTTGAGGAGCCTCTTGAACTATTTGGAATTCAATATTTTGTATCTTATAGTGTGTGGAACATAGTTGCAAGTAATTAGTGATACTGTTAATCATTTATTTTATAGTTTTAAGTTGTCCAGTGGTTGGATAATGTTTGAGAAAGTTTGGAGAGCTTCTTGAAATATTTGGAATTCGATATTTGTATCTTATAGTACTTGGAACATAGTTGCAAGTAATTAGTAATATTGCCAATCATTTACTTTATAGTTTTAGGTTGTCCACTGATTGGATGAAGTTTGAGAAAGTTTGGAGAGCTTCTTGAAATATTTGGAATTCGATATTTGTATCTTATAGTGTGTGGAACATAGTTGCAAGTAACTAGTAATATTGTTGATCGTCTGTTTTACAGTTTTGAGTTGTCGAGTGGTTGGATGAAGTTTGAGAAGGTTTGGAGAGCTTCTTGAAATATTCAGGTTTCGATATTTATATCTTAGAATGATTTGAAAATAGTTTCAATTAATCAGCAGTATTCTCAGGCATATTGGTACTATTGTTAATCGTTTGATTTAATTTTGAATTGTCCAATGGTTGGATGAAGTTTGCGAAGGTTTGGAAAGCTTCTTGAAATACCAAAGATTCGATATTTCTTTGAATTTTTGCGATAATAGTTACACAACATTGTTTGTTTCTTTCGATACTTGAATTTTACAATTTTCAAACCATTCCCAAGAAAAAATTAAGAACAAAATAATACATCGAACCATCGATTCATATTGTCCGCAGACTATTCTACATTGCAATTCTACCGAATCTCATGCATCATCAGAACCCTCAACAAATAAACTCAGCAGCATCAGCCAAGAATTCTACTCCTCCCTTTATCTCCCCGTCTCATTTCCTCGGAAATGAAGCTTCATGCCAAAGAATATCCATTTTTCCTATCAATAAAACGCAACATAGACAATTACCCTCGTAAATATCCCTGAAACTGCTATCGTTCGATATCTTTCTACAACCTTATTGCATCGTAAGCTATCGCCACTTCCTCTCGAATGTGCAAAAATGTTTTCACAAAGCAAACACGTCGCGTCGTTCTCCTAATCGACGAGAACCCCCTTTTACACTGATGAAACTCGAGACACATGGCTCTGTTTTTCATCCACTGACCTATCGACCTGCGTAAATTCCACGGATTCAGCTTCCGCCGATAGAATTGTTTCGCAGTTTGTTAAGAGTGGAGGAAAGAATCCCGCCGATTCAGCTGGACTCGGTCGAATTGAAAAATTGAATAAAAGTAACTGATACGACGCACCACAGGCATAAAGAAATTGCCGATTGCTCGGTGGCTTTCAGGCTAATGAAAATGATCACGAAAATATGGTCCTGATTTGTTTGCTCCTGGTGAATCTGATGGAATTCGAGGGTGTTTCTTGGGAAAACAGATCGAAAGGAGTTTTTATCGTCGGAGAGGAAGGAAAACAGAGACTGTTAATGGGTTTCTTGGAAGAAGCAAGATGATTGCATTTTTTCGTGGAAGATGTTGTTCCCCGAATGTGGAGAATTTATAAGTTTGTTGTTGTTGCGTATTTTACGCGTGTACTCGCAATCGAAGTGAGAGAAGTTTGAACATATATTTGTCTGGGGGTTTATGAGGAACTGTGAGTAATTTTGAGAGAATTTTATTATGGAGTTGAAGTAACAGGAGTTGACAAAATTTCCAAATTTTTTTTTAATCGTGATAATAATCAATTTTGAAACCTTGAAAAAAATGGTATAATAAATTCTCTCCACAGAAAAATGACAATTTCAATTTCCATACGAATTCTAAAAATGTGAGGAAACAAGAAATTCATATCTATCTTCATAAAAAGACCGCCATGCAAGAATTTAACTATTACACATTTTTTGTTAATTAAGATGAAAATCAATTCTCAAACCTTGATAAATTTTCTCCACACAAAAAAACCTTTCCACCTTCACTCTCAACCTAAAAATTCATATCTGTGAACACAAGGCAAGAACTCAATCCTCGAAACTCCTAAAATACAACACATCACAAACCTCGAAATCACAAGTGAAACAATTCCGACTTACTTCCCAGAATGAAAATTACTCATACATTCACTCGACCCTCAAAATTCATCCACGGAAACCCACACAGTAGAAGCTTGAAATATCCCCTAATACCTCGAACACACCGTTCAAACTCCTTCGAACTCTTTTCCAAGGAAGATCCTCCGTTTCGAAAATGCGCGAACAAACCAGCGGAAACGATACTTCTCCACGATAACGCGACATCAAACGTTCCCTCGTGGAACGCGAGTGGAATAAGGGACGAGAGACGTGGTGCATTCCAAAGGAAGACATCGACTCGCAAGCTCGATGAACTGGAAGGCGTGGGTGATTTGGAATTCCGGAAGAAGAAGGACAGAAGAGAGAGAGAGAGAGAGAGAGAGAAAGGAAAAGATGGACGGTCGACGTCGCGGCGCCAACAGATCGTTTGACACCCTTCCAAAGTCCACGTTATTTGCCCCTTTCGCGTGGATGTCGGATTTAGCGAGCAGATTGGCCGTGACGCGACGCGTTCGCCAAGCTTGCATGCAACCTGGCCAAGCTGCGTCCGATGCCACTTCCGGTGCGAGTGAAAAATCGATTTGCACGTGGCTTGTGTTCTCTTTCTTTTTTAGTTTTCTATTTTTTCGGTCGTGATGAGAATTTATTGGATATTAAGTACTTTATAGGGTGTGTAGCAAGAGTTTCTGGATTATGATTGCAATAATTTGTGATTTACGTATTGCGAAAATTTTCAAATATAAAATGAACTTTTTCTGTGTTAATAAATTTTGTAATAATGTTTGCACGTGGGCTATGCTCTTCTGTTCTTCATTTTTTCATGAGAACTTATTGGATATTAAGTATGTAGCAAACATTCCTGAATTCAGATTGCAAAAATTTTAAAAATAAAAAATACAAAAATGTACTTTAGAACAACGAAAATGTTGAAGAAAAGGTGACACGAGATACAGGAAGGTTGGTAAAGATAGTAATAACAGTGGAGGAGAGATAGAAATGTATTAAATCGACGCGCCGTGGAAATGGTTGACTTTACTACTTGCGCTGGCAAGTGATTGACTGGCGCGCGTGACAAACCCGTCCAAAACTATTCACAGCCAGCTGATACTTCAAATTATTTCTATCAAATATTTAGACAGAGCGCGTGCACAGAATGCGTTTAAGCAGAGAAGTATGTATATACACTACCAGCCAAAAGTTTGGAATCACCTCCCACTTTTCATCAATATTAAATCTGTTGCTAATTTTTTATAGATTTGAAGTTTATCTCAATTCTACATTTATCAATTTATCTCATATCAATTGATTCGAATGATAAAAAATTCTCAAAGTCGCTGAATTTTTTCTGGAAACTTTTGTGTAAATTGCAATGCTCAGTGATTCCAAACTTTTGGCCGGTAGTGTATTTTACGAAAAAATCACATTGCAAAAATTTGACGTAAAATCCTCCAAATTTCTCACAGATGAAAAATAAAAAATATAAACAATCCTAAATCTGAAAATAACAAGTGAAAATTCTTCAGATTCCACGTAGTGATAAATAAAATTTTAGAATTAACAAGTAGACTTTACGAAAAAATCACATTGCAAAAATTTGACGTAAAATCCTCCAAATTTCTCACAGATGAAAAATAAAAAATATAAACAATCCTAAATCTGAAAATAACAAGTGAAAATTCTTCAGATTCCACGTAGTGATAAATAAAATTTTAGAATTAACAAGTAGACTTTACGAAAAAATCACATTGCAAAAATTTGACGTAAAATCCTCCAAATTTCTCACAGATGAAAAATAAAAAATATAAACAATCCTAAATCTGAAAATAACAAGTGAAAATTCTTCAGATTCCACGTAGTGATAAATAAAATTTTATAATTAACAAGTAGACTTTACGAAAAAATCACATTGCAAAAATTTGACGTAAAATCCTCCAAATTTCTCACAGATGAAAAATAAAAAATATAAACAATCCTAAATCTGAAAATAACAAGTGAAAATTCTTCAGACTACACGTAGCAAAAAATAAAATTTTTCGTCACAATGAACGCGTCGACGTCACACGATCGCCAATTATCGCGATACTAAAGCATCGATATTTTCCCTTCTCTCTAATTTTGAAAATTTTAGCCAGATCTGACGCGAGTGAAAATTCATGTGAATTTACTTACGATGCACCATTCGGACGAGGGTGGACACTCCTTCAGATGCATGTGAGCGGTGTAATTGATGCACGGCGTGATACTGCCGACTCCCTCGTTGTACTGTCCGCATTTGTAACATCTGATGCCGTGTGCTAACCCTGGAATTTCGAACAGTTCCTCGATGAGTAAAGCAGGAATAAACGGCACCGTGAAAATTAAGTAGAAATACAGAGTTGCGATAAATTAATTCTTCATTCGGAAACACATAATGTATTTAAAACAAGCTTTTTCGTATGTTCTGTAGTTTCCAAGATATTTAAAAACATGTTTTCCACCCTTCAATTTGAAGGCTGCTTTCGGCCCTTTAATATTGACGATAAAAAAAAATAGCTGTCAAATATTCTTACGTGAACTATCTTCCATGTAAATTTGATCAAAATTGACGTGTGTGGGTGGAATATATTTTTAGTTTAGAAAACAAATAAAAATTTACTTCGAGGCACTGTGATAACAATGAAATCATTATTAAATTATTCTGAACTCTGTTAAATATTTTTAAATAAATTATCAAGTAAGAATAATCTAGAGTGTCGATAAAAATAAAGCAAAGAAGAACAATTTTTCAGAATTAACAATATTTAAATAATTATTCCAGTTGAGAGAGTTTTGTACCAGAGAGTGCACGTTTTATTTAAATATAAAACGGTGGAATTTTTCTCGTCTAGCAAAGTAATCGACAGATTTCCACGTAGCGTGCATACATCGATGAATTAACAATCGTTTAATTAGCATAAACGCGTCAGAGGGAGTCAAAGCGATAAAGGAATCTCTGGTCGGAGCGTGTCACGGCTCGATAAATCGAGTGTATCGCACCTTTTGAGCATCGGGGGGCCAGGTAACACGCTCTCGCTACGGAAAATTGCTTACGAAAGTAGAAATTAGAGACGCGTTCCCCTGCTTTGAAGTCGAAGGGCCGCGAACTTTTCAAGCTGCTTTCCGGACGAGCTTTGAACTTCGAGACGCCGAGAGGCAGCCGCGACACTTTGCTGACAGAATTTCACCGGGCGTTTACAAAGCATTTACCACGGTGGAAGGGATTTTTCCGATTTGGAACTCTCGACGAGTTCCTCAAATTTTCCGGAAAAATTCATTCTCATTCCGGAGATTTCTTCTGGAAAATTTTATATCGGAATTATTGAAGAGCATTGAAGTTGAAAAGTGCGATACAAATAAGCCCCAAATTTTCCGGGAAAATTAATTTTCACCGTGAAAATTTTCCGGAAAAATTAATTTTCACTGGACATTTTCCGGAAAAATTAATTTTTTTAGGGGAATTTTTCTGGAAATACTTGTGACAAGAATGTTGGAACTTTGATGGATAGGAATATTGAAATTAAGAATTTTAGAACTCAAAAAAACCTTCGAAAATTCAAATTTCCTTTGCTTTTCCTTGTAGATCAGGTGAAAGGGGAATTTTTTCTGAAAATATTTCTGACAAGGATATTAGAACTTGGAAAATTCTTAGAAAAAAGTGTCAAAGGTCGACCAAAATTTCCACCCTTCGTTCAACATTCAAATGTCCTTCCCTTCTCCTTACGAATCCAGCGAGATTCTATCTCCCAGCTAATTAGAAAACTGCACGTCCTAAATAGCACGAAATAATATCTCCGGCGACCGATAGTTCGCGAAGCATTAACAGGACACGTCGCGTTTGGTTTTTACTCGTTAAAGAGGCGAAATTGCATTGCAGGCGTCGTCGCGTTGAGTCAACAGTTGTAAGTTTCGGTTTAACTTAACAAGAAGTTCCACGGAAGCTCTTCCGGCCGCGATCCTCCCCGTGGATTCACCGACTTTAATTCTGTCCTCATCGCGAACTCCCAGCTCGTGGAAAATTAACACGTTAATTGGCAAGAGACCGGCGCAATCTTATGACTTATTTTGGGGACCATGGGCGTCACGCTTAATGCTTTAAGTTCGCCAAACTCTTGAATTCACTGGATTCTCCTTTCGCCAGTCACATTACTATTCATGAAACTTCTACATGTGTTAATATTAACGTTGTAGAGAAACACTCTAATAGAAAATTTCATCTTTGCTAACGTACAGTGATACCTTACAATAAATGCAGCAATTGTTTGCAAGATAAGAGACAAAAGAGGATACAATTTCTAGAATTAGTTTTTTCTCGATGGAAAATAAGTTGACCTTAGTGTCAGTGAATGATAGATTTTTGAATTAGTTGCTTCTGAATTTTTGGAAGTAATAAAAAAATTTGAAAGGAAAGTTTTTAGTTTAAAATTGTTCAAATTTTCTATTTAAAAATTATTCAAACCTCTTATTTCAAAATTGTTCAAACTTCTTATTTTAAAATTTTCAAAGCTTTCATTTAAAAATTGCACAAGCTTTTTATTTAAAAATTCTTCAAACTCTTTATTCAGAAATTTTTCAAACTCTGTATTTAACAATTGTTCAAACTTTTAATTTCAAAACTGTTCAAACATTTCATTTCAAAATTGCTCAAACCTTTTACTTAAAAGTTGTTCAAACTCCTTATTTAGAAATTGTTCAAACTTCTTATTTAAAAATTGTTCAAACTTCTTATTTAAAAATTGTTCAAACTTCTTATTTAAAAATTGTTCAAACTTCTTATTTAAAAATTGTTCAAACTTCTTATTTAAAAATTGTTCAAACTTCTTATTTAAAAATTGTTCAAACTTCTTATTTAAAAATTGTTCAAACTTCTTATTTAAAAATTGTTCAAACTTCTTATTTAAAAATTGTTCAAACTTCTTATTTAAAAATTGTTCAAACTTCTTATTTAAAAATTGTTCAAACTTCTTATTTAAAAATTGTTCAAACTTCTTATTTAAAAATTGTTCAAACTTCTTATTTAAAAATTGTTCAAACTTCTTATTTAAAAATTGTTCAAACTTCTTATTTAAAAATTGTTCAAAATTTAAAACTTCCAATTTTCAGTTCAACTCGTTTCCACACATTACCGTACACATTCCTCCTATTCTATACAAACTTTCCTTGTTTATTTTTAATTACCATCACCCCCATCCCCCAAAAGAAACTCAATCCAAAAACCGAACACTTTCTACACATCCCGTGCATCGTCGAGATAACAGAATTTTCCCGGAACCGCGTCGGGACGAAAAATAATATCCTAAAAGCGTAGCACAGTGTATCTAAGAGATTCTCAAGACGAAGTCACCGGATAGATGTGGCAGTTTATCCTCCGCCGTTCGCCATATCCGGCACGGTTTCGTCCACGCTGCATTCCTCTCAAGGATTCCGAGGGACGCGTGTGCACATGTACACGTACTTACACACGTGTCCACGGAATTCCGAGTAGCCAGCGATTCGCGGGAAATTGGAAAAGTTAGCTGTTACCGAGTCGGTCAGAGAGGGAGGTGCACACCGACAAAAATATTTTATTGGAAATTGGAAAACATTGCGGACGAAAACGGACCGTGGATTCCGATTTCACGGATCCTTCGTCTGCCCTCTGCTGATCCTCTTCGACGAGAACACCGGAAATGATACACTCCTTGTGTTCTTTTTTCCTCCCTCGTTTGTAGCGTGCAATCGAAGGGTGAGTTTCGTGGAAACGTGGAAATTTTGCGGGTGATATATTTGCGGTGTGATCGTTAACATTTGGGTGTGCTTTTGGTCCAGAGAGATGAACTGTGGTTGGAAATTTAGCTTAGAGCGATAGACGAGTGAAGGGTGAATACTTGAGCTGGAGAGACGGAGGTGTGAATGGAAAGTGTTTGGAAAGACAGCGCGAATCAGGTGAACAAAGAGTGCGTGACCATCGAAAGATTTCGAGGGACGTGACGAATGCGTTTTGAGAATAGGAAGAGATAGAGAAACGGAGGGAGGGAGAATGGAAGAGGGTGAAAGAGACGCGTGAAGAGTTATAGAGAAGTCAAGAAGATAGAGCCAGAGAGAGAGAGAGAGAATTATAGAGATTATTCAGAGTCAAGGGGTAAAATGTTGGAGCGTAACTCTCTGTGCGAAGTTTCTTGGGCTTAATAATGACAGAAATACAGTGGAGAGACTGTAGCTGTTATTATTGAGTCGGTACAATAATCTTGATACACACACAGAATGTTGATATAAACGCTATTTGTTAGAGAATTTTTAGCCACTTTTGGGACAGTGTAACTTTTTCAAAATTCGACCAAACCACTTGAGCTTTGTTTTAGAAGTTAGAAGGATTAGTATACTGTAATAGATGACGTGTGCAAAAAATTTGGAAAAAGTTGCAATTTGTGGAAATCACGAAGAGAATTCTAAAGGTCACTTTCCACAACTTTCTATTTCCACATATTGCAATTTTTTCAGAATTTTTCTACACATCGTCCATTATACTATACGAATCCTTCTAACTTCTCAAAAACACTCAAGTGGTTTGGTCCAATTTTGGAAAAGTTATGCTGTCCCAAAAGTGGCCGCATTCTTTTCTTTGGACAAATTCTTACTGCAAAGAGAAAACACAACTTTCCACCACGCTGGAGAGGGAAAATCGACATGATCGATATTCTACTGCGATAAACATTATTCAATACCAGTCTCCAACCCACAATTCCTGCAAAATTCGTGAAACAACTGGCAAAAATTGTGAACGAAATCGGAACAACAATTGAGTATCGACAATAGTGTTTGAAGAATTTCTTAATTAGAAGTCAGAGGGGAAATCCGGGATCGTTTAGGGAAAGTAACACACCATAATAGAGGGGAATGTGAAATTGTGAAGGAGTGATAGTTCCGGTTGGAAATCTGTGGCCGTAATTGCGGCGTGTTTCGAGCAGAGGACCGACTAGTCATTGTCTAGAACTACTTGCCCCGGAGTTCCAATGAAGTATTGATTACTGGGCTTGCAGTTATGCTACCGACTAGTTGAATACTTTGATGGAGTTACGTTGCCGATTAGGCGGGCTCCAGTATCTCTCTCCTATTGATCCTTGGCGAAACACTCGCGTACGACCAGTTACTGTCTCGTACTACTTGTCCGCGGACACGATTTAATTTATGTCGAGAAAATTCAAGTATTTTAATTTTCTGTTGGATTGTTTGGTTAATTGTAGAGAATAGTAGGTGGACAATTTGAGTTTACCTGAGAAATATTGCTCTGGAGTGAAGATTCTTTAGTGGGAGGCGCTGTTTAAGACCTGTACTACTTAAAAACAGTGTTGACCAACAGTTTAGGACTTTTGCGCATTGCAAGCTAGCAAAGAATTTCACAATTAATTTGTTATCACTCTAATCCGTCGAAATTTTCCTAATTTTTAACAAAATGGTGGCAGATTGAATATTGGTGAATGTTTGTAAGTGGTTTTGAACTCTTGATTAGTGGTGTATTTTTAAATATTTGAATAATTTTATCTTTAAGTGTGACATTTTTTAGGTTTGTA